GTCTTATAGACGGAAAAATATGGTAACTTCTTTCTAATAAAAAGGCAACATACTAATCATAAATGTGATTCTTTGGGGCTCCAATATATATATATATATATATATATATATATATAAAAGATTACTACACTTTGAATATAGGCACTGGACATATATAGTACCATATAGTTCTTAAATTCCAGAATACTCACCACATGAATGCTACTGGTAAGCCCTTCCTCCCTACTAATGATGTCAAGTGACTGTAGCTTCCTTGCACATCTAGACATCCAGCATAAATATTTGCAGGAGGAATGTGCTCGTATGTTCACCAATGTATGAATGATGACTGCTACGCAAGCAAGCCCCAGCTGAACACACAGATGTCTACAGGAGGCTGAGCTCATTTATGCCATCAGAAGGAGGCAGGAGAAAAGCACTGCAGCTTTTCAGGAGTCATTCTATCCTGTCCACTCCTCCTTGTATGATCAAAATAAAAGATCACTCTAAAATACTAAGGTAGCTAAACTTCTGAAGGGAAGTATGAAGAGGCTGACTAAAGAAGGGGACTGAGGCAGGTTCCTTCCAATAGGAAAACACGCACAATCTCTGCAGAAACTCAAAGTTGCAAACGAAAAAAAAAAAGTTTATTGCCCCCCACCCAACCCCATTTTGGATACCCTGTGGCTGAGTTAAAAATAAATCAGCTCAGCTGCTGAACAAAGACAACAACGTGGGATCCCACAGATCTGGAACTGATTTTAGAGCAGTGCAAGGACCTCACAGGAAAATGTCCAAAATTATCGGTATCCACAAATAAATGTTTTTAACATCAAGGTAAAAGTATTCTTCATTTGAATTATATCCTGTAGATATGATGGAGCCTTAATGACATGATACAAAATGCGAAACGCTGTACATGATCAGAGATACTGTCTTCAAAAGGCTGTCAATTTTGTCCTTGTTTGCTCTGACATATAAAGAATATAAAAATTATAAAACATGGTCGTTAGTTGGGACTGTTCTTTCCCCCCGCCCCCCAGTCGCTCATTTCCTCTGTCTATGATGTTTATTGCTTATATAATTATTATGAATAGATTTCTGAATAGACTCAGCAAGCAGTAAAGTTTATGATTGAAAAAATCTAAAAATAAAATCAGGATTGACTGATTTGGGGATAGGCTGATTTTTTTGATCTGCAGAAATGGTCCAGACCACTGTATGCTTTACATTTCATATATATGAACTGATGAGCCCAGGGCCATCTGAGGCCTTTCATAAGACACCTGGACCTGCAATGATGTCTAAACGATAACGATAGCATTTCCAACAAAGCCATCCAGCCAGGTTTTCTTCCATATAAGAATGGAAATGTCTTAACAGTCCTTTATATTTTATATCTTATATTTATATATTGTATATGTTTTAGTGTTATGTGGGTTTTTTGGTTTATTGTTTGTTTTGGGTTGTTGTACATCACCCAAAGTCACATTCTTTGAGTTGGGCAGCCTTATAGATCTGGTAAATAAATAAATAATAAAGGAAGAGAGATGCCAATTAACTGCTCACAATGTGATTGCATGCCACAGCAATCTTTGTTCTTAGCTATGAAAACCCAAACCTGGATTTTCTAATTTCAGAGAGAAAGATAACAGGAGAGATGTACTTTAATACAATTCAGAAATCTCTTTTTTCCTGATTGATTTGTACTACATCAGTCATGTTGCTCTTTGAACCTTTTGAATATTTTCTCATTTTAATTAACTCTTCTTTTTTTATTAGGGGTGCTTCTCTGGGTATAACAATTTTAATACATTACTCATACTCTTGAAGATCTAGGCAGGGGAAGCGCTTCATTTCCAATCTCTCTCTCTTTCTCAGTCATTCATACATAAAAACAAAACAGAATTTACACAGCTCTTGAGCAGCCAAATGTAGTTTGGGAATCTCTATATAAGGGAAATTACTAGGCAAACATTGAGTGCCACTTCAGAACATCTTCTGTATATAATTACAACTGTAGTGTTTCATATCATGCAAAAAATGAGTATCTCTGTACATCACCTTGATGGCTTCCAGAGCTATTGGATTAAAACTCCCATTATCCTTATGCAGAAAAGCAAAAGAGGATGGGCATGATTGAGCCACAATCAGCTATCTTACCATGAGATCTGAAATAGCCTTACAACTAAGAGTGGCAACTTTCAAGCAAGGAAATTCTCTTTTAATATGGTTTGAAGCGATTTTGAAAAGGTTACATTCCGTGAGCATTTTCTTAGTGCTTTGCTTATTCAGTGTTTAACATTTCTTTTCAGCGTTGATGAAATAATGGAAATAATCAGGCGCTTATCCTAGGGAGATCCTTGTTTTATCTAAGGTAGGGGGTTATTCTGCAAAGGTATTCTCTGTCTATTTAAGGATGCTTGATTCCAGATACACAAGACCTTGTGCCAACAATTAAAAGACATTGGCCAGCTCCTTTGTCTTATTCTCCTTAGTGGTCTAGACCAGTGTTTCTCAACCTTAGCAACTCTAAGATGTGTGGACTTCAACTCCCAGAATTCTACAGCGGGCATGGCTAGCTGGGGAATTCTGGGAGTTGAAATCCACTCATCTTAGAGTTGCCAAGGTTGAGAAACACTGGTCTAGACAGAAAAGAGATGGGACCACACAAAAGATTTACAAACATAAAATTCCTATGAAGAAGGTGGCAAGGCATTTTCACCATAGAAGCTTGCTTTGGAACTACTCTCATTTGGAAGAATTCACCATTGCCATTTACTACTACCTGCAACTGCAAAACCTTTTCCTATTCTGTAAAGAAAGCTTATTGAGCTGCTGGTCTTCTTTAAATTATGATGTTGTTTTGAATCCCATGTGTTTGCTTGTCTTGTTTGCCATAGCAGCATCCTTGATGCTTTATATCCTTGGGAAGGATTGGGGATAGGATGAAGAGTCCTACATTTTGCCTTCATGAATATCTTGGGTCTTCTGGCATCTCTGTTGCCCCCACCCCAACTCCTCAGCACCAAATATTACCAAGGCAGCTGTATTAGCCTAGCAACAGGTTTTATTCAGAGCTCTCAGACAGCCTGCCTTCCTCAACCTGGTGGGCTCCAGGGCTCAGATTACAATTCCCATCCTTCTGGCTACACACCATAAGTAGATAACATATGTAAACCATCAGACAGTACACAAGAATTCTTTAAATATCTGGCTTTCTCCAACACAGCATCTCCCAGGAACAACCAGACAATATGACCAATAACTGGAAATCATAAAATTTGTAGATCAAGGCTTCCAAAAGCATCAGTCTGCTGAGTAGCCTTCTTAAATCTGAGGGCTCTAAAGTTCTCCCCATTGCTGGCCATCCCCAGTTAGAGGGGAAAAACTGCTTTCCTTCTCAATGCAATGAGCAATTAAAAAAAAAATCAGCAAAAAAACATACATGCTTTCTGCCCTGGTCGTTACAAGCCCAGGAGCTTTCCCCTGTCCCCTCTTCCTTGGCTTCTCTCTCCTGCTCCTGCTTCAGCTTCTCTATTAGTAAGACTGATTGTGCAGGCAAAATGCATAATCAGGTGAAGTGAATCCCACCTTGTGGAATATTTAATATTAATTGCATGTTCTCTATGCCTGCTAACCACCTTTCCATCAAAATGTTTCATCTTCTACAACAGCCTTTCCCAACCAGATAGCCTCAGATACATTGAACAAATATCTTCCAGCATCCCATGTGATCCAGATATGTTGGCTGCAGATGATGAGAACTGTAGTCCAGCCTACCTGGAGGACATTAGATTGGGGAAAGATGTTCTAGCTTTTTAACAATTGCATTTGGAGGTGTAAAGGGAGTAAAGCCTGAGTTTTAATGCCCTTAGCATCCAAAACTCTGTTAGCAGAATCCATTTTACCAAATAATTCCTGCTCACCCTCAACTCCACTCTTATGGTTACTAATTTCCTGCTTATTCTTCATTCCACTGTTATGTAAAATTAGCAAGGGCAAGCTCCTTACTTACCTGCCTGCTCTGGAGAGTCCTCTTCTCAGTACAAAAATTTGATGCTGAAGGTTCAACCTTACCAGGAGGAACTGACCCTTGCAAAACTTCCCTCCACAGTACCCAGAAAAGAACACCAGACCCTTCTAAGTATTTCCTCATAGAAGTGAGGAATAAAGCAACAGGAAACTGCTCACACAGTTCAGCAGGTGGACATCGCAGCTATTCTAGTGCCTGTAGAACAACCTTCCCAAACTGACTCCTTGAGATCTGCACCTCACTGAATTTCCTAGCTAGCCATGCAGC